ACCAGCCAGCAGCGGCAGGTGCGCTGCCCTGCAGGAAGGGGCGCTTCCCGCCCAGTGCTGGAGTGGGGCTGGGGGCCGATAGACCCGAGGGGCTCCCGCTGAAGGCGGAGGACTAGAAGACAGGGCCTCCTAGCTCCCTCCTGAGAGGGACTCAGTAGGAAGAGCTCCTGCAGATTTTGAAGACAATTTTGGGAAAACAAAACAAAATCCCACAACCTTTGGATTATAGAAGACTTCAAACATGTACAAAAGGAGACGAAACAGCCCAGCGCTTCTCACATTTGGATGTGCATACGAATCCCATGGGGATTTTATTTTATTAAATGCAGATTCTGATTCAGTAGGTCTGGGGTGGAGCCAAGATTCTGCATTTATAGCCATCTCCCAGGTCCAGAGGATCACACTTTTATAGGGAGGTTCTAATGACCCTGCATGGCTCCAATCCCACAGCTTCAACAACAGTATCAACTCTTGGTCAATTTTGTTTCATCTACATCCTTCTTCTCCTATTATTTTAAAGCAAAGTCAGGTATCAAATAATTTCATCCATAAATATTTTTGTATCTCTAAAAGATAAGCATTATTTTAAAAACATAACCACAATATCATTACACCTAAAATTAACAACAGTAATTGTGTAATAGCAACTATCCAGTCTAGGTTCAGATTTCCAATTTTGAACATAGTGCTTGCTGCTGGCTTCCTAATGCCTCATGAGGACAATGACAAGCCAAAGCCTTCTGCCACCTGTTTCTGGTGACTTGTGCAGCCTGAAGAAGATTCTGTGCTAAAATTGAGTCACAGATTCCCCCCCAGGAACAGGGTTGGGGGCAGAGAAGGGCCGCAGGAGGTCCAGATGCCTGGCCTGATTTTCTGACCCCTAGCTGGCCTGGGAATGGGTTTATGAAAGGAATGGGGACTACTTGCTTCACTTTGTCAGCAGGAGAGGGTGTCTTCAATAAGGAAAGGAACTTGCCTGTGGCCTACAGAAAGCTGGGGGCCCTCACTAGGGAGTGTCTGGAACCCGAATCCTGTGCCACAGCCCCTCCCATGCTGTGCTGCAGCATCAGGCACAGACTAGAAGATCACTGGGGGGTGGGGGTCCAGGGACCCCACAGAAATGCCCAACAGGCATTGTAGGCAGGGAATCTGTCATATTCATATCTGGCAGGCAGTAGGATATCAAAAACTGCATGGAGAATGAATGGAAGAGTCTGCCCATTAGAAGTGAAAAATACTTATTCAGTGAGCGCTTGTGTTTGCCATGTGCCGGTCATTATTCCCAGTGTTTTACGTGTACTACTCCCCTAATCCTAGTAAGAGGTAGTAAGAGGCCTCTGAGTCGGTAGTAGTATTATCCTCATTTTAGAGATGAGGAACCTGAGGTACAGAGACTTTAAGTAACTTGCTGAAGGTGACACTGCTGGTTAGGGGCAGAGCTGGGTTGAAGAAGCTAGTACAGCCTGATTCTAGGGTCCGCTCTCTCTGCTCTGAGGCTATGCAGCATCTCAGGGTTGAGAGACATTGCTCCTCAAAGGAAGTAGCCTCCATTTCATCTGCCTCACCCATCGTGAGGACATGACTACTGATCAAACCGTGTCTCCCTCAGTACATCCTGCCCTGGGGATCTGACATATTCTCCACCCTCTCCCCGTCCCACCCCCTACTCCAGCCCTGAGACCCTGTGGGAGGAAAAGGGAAAGGACTACAAGCCTGGGAGGGTTGCAGGAGTTTTCGACCTTTAGGGTTGAAGGTGCCAGTGGAAGGCACTTGGATTCTGAAGTTGGGGTGGGATCGTGGAGTGGGAAGCCAGAGTCTAGGGCTGAGCACAGGCAAGAGAGTGGTGTCCAGGAGAGTCAGATTTCCTTCAGGGTTGAAGATCCAGTTCTCCAGGGTAGGGTCGGGACTTGAGCCTTTGTGTTATGTCTCAAAAACCTGAGTGTGGCAGAGGTGAGCCCAGAAAGGTGAGAAATACCAGGGAAATGCTCATTGCCCAAGTGGGTGCAATCCTGCGAGGGCATGAGCTGGCCACTCAGGCTGTGGCTCTGGATGCCTCTTAAGCAATGGTCAGGAAGTGACTCAGGCCTCAGACTCTGCTGACATTGACCCCCTCCTCAGGCCTCAGCTGGACTGGTATTTACTCAGCAGCCAGGCAGCTTTGGAGAGATGTACCATGGACGATCCTTTCTAGGGAGTCATGAATGGGAGAGAAAGAGGGGGTCGCTGAGGACATCCTGGGTGCTCCCCTCCCACAGCCCCAGGGCTCTCTTCTCTGAGCTCCAGGGCCCCTGTGCTCTTCTCCTGCCAGACACTGACGTAACGTTGTGGTGTTGGTTTCTGCCCTATTAACATCGAGTCAGGGGGTTAAACCAACTTTGGAAGGAGACCTGAATTTCCATCCTGCCTCTGCAGTACCAGTTGTATGACCCAGGACAAAGTTCCTTGCCCTCTCTGAGTTTCAGTGTCCTCCTTGTAAAATGGAAATCACATTAAAGCATGACGAGTATATTTGAAGAGTCCTGGGAATGTATCGTTCCAAGTGCAGTATAACAACAACCCAGAGGTAGGGACTGTCAATGCCTCCAGCCAAAGATCCTCAGAAACACACCTGTGGGGAAACGAACTGGGTTTGTCATTAGTTGCACGGAGGAGAACATGCACACAGGAATCAGGGCACGTCTCGGTAAGAGGGTGTTGGAAAGCACATATTATAAGATTTGGGCTTATGTTAGGTGACTTCGTGGAGGATATAAGGAAGCTGGACTTTGTTCTGGATTAGGTTCCATCAGGAAGTAGAGGTGATTCTCTGATTAGGTATCTTAATATATCTTACCTGGAAGGAGGGCCAACTAGAATGAGGAGAGAACCGTAATTGGTAAAGTAGCAGCCTTCACTCAGAGTAGCTGCAGGGGGGTGTTTGGTCATGTTTGTGGTCTGGACAATACTCATATTTTCTCTGTGCTCAGATGTGATTACAGAGTGTCTTGTTTTTGTCTTGATCTGTTGTGGTCACAGACAGTTTGTCTGCATTTAGCAGGAGCACGTAACATGAGCTGGGCCGGGCCAGCTCCGAGCAACAACAAGGTCCGGCTGATGGGACTGGGCAGTTCCTGGATGTCAGGATACCACTGTTATCCTAGCACAGATGGAGTCGCTGAGGCCCAGAGGCAATGACTAATTTGCCCAAAGTTATACATGACCAAGAAGGTGGTGGACACAATCTTCAAACCTGGCATCCTGCTCTAGAGTCTGCCTGTTTAACCACCAGCCAGACTGTCCGCGGCCCAGCAAGTGCCCGAGAAGTGGCTGTTCTTATAAGGCTGTCTTCCGAGCGAGGCTGTGAGCCTCTAGAGGGCAAGGACGGCTAACTAGCTTCTTAGAAACTGAGGCAAAAGCCCTACGTGATGATGAGGCTGGCTGCCCGTAATCCTGGCCACGGAGGCGCCATCTGGCCTCAGAAGTCTGGCAGCTCCTCAAACACCACAGCCCTCTCTGCGCCAAACAGCAGGGCCAGCAACTGAAACTCACACCTTCACTGGCTGTGGAGACCTCTACAAAGGAGGAATTATGGCCTGCCTGGGGTCTCCTAGGGATGAGACAGCAAGGGAGCCCAAGAGCTCTGGCCCCAGCTCTTGAGAGGTTCTCATGCTCCTTAGGGCTTTTCAAGACTCCACAAAGCAATCAAAATTGTCAGGAGGTGGAGAGATGCAGAGTGAGGGCATGTGGGGCCTGCTCTGTGGCTTGTTAGCCTCTCAAAGTCTCAGTTTCCCCATCTGTAAAATGAGAGTAAGTAACAGTACCCACCTCATGGGGTCGTCATGAGGACTAAAAGAGATGACAGGAGAAGTGTCTGAGATTCAGGGCCTGGCACATAGTAGGTGTTCCCCCAAGCTCCTTCCTCAGTGCTGTCCAGCTTTGCCCCCCAGGCCCGGGTATCCTGGCTGCTCTGCCCTCAGCCCCAGCCTTTTTGCTGTTCAGTCCCTGCCACAGCAGGAGCCCCTTAGTCGACTCCAACTCACATCAAACTCCTTTATCGAGTTTTTGCCAAATTCCCAGCCCAAGCATTCATCCACCCATTTATTCAACATTTGCTGTGCGCCAGGGACTGATTTAGGTGCCGAAGATGTAGCAGAAATGCAACAGATAAAAGTCCCTGCTGGGTGGAGCTGACATTCTAGTGGAGGAGGCAGATGAAAGACCAGTGAACAAACATAGTATTGGGTTGAATCATCTGAAATTGCTGACATTTGACAACTTTATATGATTCAACCAAAAGTAATGTCAGGTAGCGTTAAGTGCTATGGAGAAAATACTGCTGAGTAAGGATATAAAGAAGGACT